CTCTCGTGTCATCCCAGCACCCCGAGGTGTTTTTAGCTGGCACAGGCTCCTGGTTATGTCCTGGCGCCACGTGTCTGGATGAATGTCCCCTCCGCCTCGTCTGCCCTCAGCTGCTTGCCGTGTGCTCCGTCATGAAACGCAGCCACTGCTCCGGGGTGGCCACCAGCATTTCCAGACTCCCCTTTAATTGCTGGGACCTTGGGGAAGGCAGGGAGGGAGAGGCAGATCCATACACCATTTTCAGTGCCTAATGAGGGCAAGTCCTTACTCTCCAGGATGAGTTGATGTTTGATTAAAAGTTACTGGATGCCACCCACCAAATGAATACAGATGCCACTTCGACAGCATTAAGGCGATAGCAAAATTCTTGGACATGAGGCGTCTCTGAGAAGTTGATCTGATTTTTTTTTCTTCTGTTTGTGGCCAGCAGCTCTGCCCTTCATTGCTTCTCTCTGTGGCATCTCCACGTAGGAGATGACTCTGCAGCAGGGTGGGACAAGGAAGACTGACCCCGTATGCAGGTGTTACAATGGGCTGTCTTTCTGCTCTATGACTTGTACACCTTTGCTCTTTCATCCTTCCTGCAGATTTCCATATTAAAGTGAACACTGAAAAATGAAACATAAATGGACACTACTAGAGCAGTGGTCACCTTTAGGAGATGACTGAGTCTGCCCACATGCTGTTGCTGCATAGGTACCTCCTCTGCCACGCTGCACGAGTCAGGACAACTGGGGTGCTGAAGATACCTCCTGCACCACCAATCTCCCAGCATTTAGGCACAGATAAGGTCCCTTCAGTGATCTCAGGGTATATCTTGCAGGGTACATCTCAGGTATCTTCTCTCAAAGTCAGCTCTTCCACAGCTCTTGACCATTGTTGGCTTAAGCTACTAGAATACTTGTTGAAAATCCAGACATCTCTGCACAGCCCCTGACTCATGCACTTCATGTGCCCATACTATGACTAAACTTGTGGATTTGGGTTTTTTTTAGTCTGAAAAGAAGCAAACTCAAAATCATCGTGTGTTAGCCTTGAGAAAATAAAACTAAAGTAAGACTAGACGGTTCAGGAGCATGTTAGGGTTGTGCTTAGGTGAAGTGGGGACTTACGGCTGTGTCCTTCACACCTCTACTGACCTAGCACAGAAATCTGTTAAAAAAGCAGTTAAAACAGCAGCTGAAAGAAAGAGTAGGTAAAACAAAGAGCAGCTATTGTCTTGTGTAATAAATGTAATGTGAGGAAATATTTATTCTAGCTGATTTTATCTAGAAACACTCCTGAGAGAAGCTGAGGGCTCTCCTTTGCAGTGTGTCACCTATTTCATATCTCAGTTATGCTGATATGTTTCCTTCTGTTTGTCAGAAGGAAACGGCTAGTGATCGACTACACCCAAGCCCTTCTGACCAAGCAGTTGCAATATATCATGCGTCCCACTAGCTTCGTTTCTGCTACCAACATTTCTCTCCATTAACACGACTCTGGCTTGAGGACGCTGTCAAGATGGTAGATGACATCAGTAGTCCCCGAACATCACATGCGCGCTCGTATTTTTAGCTGTTTCTTGTGGAAGCCCCGGCGCAGAGCCGCGCGCCCGGTCTGTGCCCGTGTGGGGCTGTGTCATTCAGGGTGTGTTTGTTCTCTCCGCAGGAGCAGTTTGAGTTTGCTTTGACAGCAGTGGCAGAGGAGGTGAATGCAATACTCAAGGCACTGCCGCAGTGACCGGCGCAGGCTCCTAAAGGCTCCCTGAGGATCCAGCCCTCGTTTCCTTATCCTCACTCCCTGTGAATGTTCTTGGAAAACGTGACCTGACCTTAACTGTGTATCTTCTGTTGTAACCACATAGTGATAGGGTCCTTACAAACTTCTTTAGCTGGTAAAAAGTTCAACAGTTAAAATGTGTATTCTGCTGGGGGGGGCGGGTAAATAAATTTTGCGAAGTACATTGAAGCCTCGGATTAAGCGGCAGAACCGTCCATCCAATTCCCTTCACATCCTCAAAGCCCTGGATGTCACACTTGGAAAGCACACATTCATATTCTTAATAGCAAATATACCGTATTGTGGGTAATTAGTGCAGTCAATATCGTCTCAGAAAACAGTGTTCTCTTATATTTTGTGACTTCTCAAAGGCTGACGGAGAGCAGGGTGGCTGCAAAGGGATGGTGATCGTTCCCATTCGCTGCCCAGCAATGCCGAGGGGCTCGGCCAACGCCGTGGCCAAAGAGCCTTGCACCTTCTCACGCTGGGCTCTGGCGAGCAAGTGTGTTCTTAACTGTTGTTTACTTTTCAGCTTTGTGCCATGAACAGAGGAAAATCTCAGCTATAAGTAAATAGACCTGCGAGGTTGTTGCAACTGGGGAGAACAAGTTGGTCACGTTAATAGGGAGCCCGGGGAAATGAGCACGAAGCTGCTCCCCGGCACCTGCCGCCAGCAGAGAGGAGGGACAGGGTAGGCTGACCCGAAACACGAGTGAAGCGGCCAGGGAAGTGTCCGGAGCTGCTTCGGAAATGGGTTGTTGATCTGACGGGATTACTGAGGAAGAGAACGGACCTCTCCTCTCTGCATTTTTTGCATTTCCCTCTGTAAAAAACTGTGCCGTGCCATCCTTTTTGGACCAGGAAGTATACTTCTGTACATACCTGGCTGAAGGAAAAATCGCCAATCTGCATTTTATGATTCGCCTGGAGTTTGTCTCATCCAGACACTTGTTGCATCTCTCTGCAGAGTCTCTGTTGTTGCCTTGTTCTGAATGATACGTTTTAGCTAAATATTAAGGGATAAAGAAGCACATGGGTTCGGTCACAGAGATTCTTGTGTTCTGAAAAGCCTGCTGCTTACTGCTGCAAAGTAATGCCAAAATATGTATGTAAATGGTTTGGTTATGCAGTTTTGCTTACGTGACTTCACAGTTTCAGTTGTGATAACTCTTCTCTTGCAGAGGAATGGAAACTTCTGACAGAAAGGACTCGAATGAGGGGCCTACGGGTAAAACTATCCAATGTGCTTACATGATTTAAGCTCATCATTTTGTTTTCAAAAGTGGATTTGAATTAGATCTAAGCTATTAAATGTCTCCTTTCTTCTTGAAAATGGAACATGAGCACTTTTTCATATATTATCCAACATCTCTATGATTTAGGGGTTTGGGGTGTTTTTTTTTTTTTTTTTCCCAAAATCATAGCGATGTTTTTGCTTGAAACCACGCTAGGTTAATTACTTGACTTCAGCATTGAAAACCATGTAATTGATCTTAGTTTGGGAGGCGGAAGCTTTTATAAACTTCTGTTCAGTGAAATGTTAAAAAGCCAATATTGCAGAGTTTTGCTGGAACAGAGCTGAGCGGCGCCTATTGAAGTCAACCATGTTGCAGTTTAGTGTTGTAGGCGTGGATATTGGTGATTTTTTTCTTTTTAGCAATTAAAGAGCTATTAAAAATAATAATAATCAGAAGACTTGTTACTTTCTCCATACATTTTTGTGTGCTTTACTTGGTATGCACTATTGCTTAATTTGTGCATCGTATTACCGTGGCAGTACCGCGCAGTTACTGCAGATGCCATCATCCTCTTAAGTACACATACTGTACATTAAGCCACATGTTTATTTTATGACCTAAGCATTTTAGAGCTTTCCTAGCAATAACTAAAAAAACTAATGGAGTATGAATGAGAAAATTGCCTTTTTCATTTGATAATTTAGGTTTAAGAGGATTCTTTTATTACCTTCGCTAACGCAAAATTGCAGATCAGGGCAGATGAGCTCAGTCTGAGCAGTGTCAGTGCATGTTTGAAGTAGATTTACTGTCTGCCACGTACTGCAGCTTTCTGCAGGAATACAGGTAGCTATATCCAAATGAACCCGCCAAGGAACTAGACCCAGGACCTCCTGAGCCTTCCCCTTAGCTCGCAGGGCAAGTCTATGCTGTTACCAGCTGCCAAAGGAGCAAGGGGCTTTTAGCACAGATTTTGGCCAGTTCACACGTGTTTTGCCTTCTGCCCGTCCCTGGGCACCCAGCAGACATGGCTGGTGAGCCTGACGCTTGCACTTCAGGAATATTTTTTAATTGTTCTTTTGCAAATATTTGCATTTCCTAAGAGCAGTTTCAGGGCCATCCCTATAAATCCACAATCTAGTGTGACACCAGACTCCTGGTCTCGGTGCTGGGGAGGTTATTCAGCGTGGATCGGGGGGCATCATCTCCCGCCAGGCCCGTGGGGAGGCCGTGGGTGCGGGGACGCGGCTCCCTCGGGCTGCTCCTGCCGCGGCCTCTTTCTGCCGGGCTTGATGTGATGCCAGGAAAGTGCCAAGCCACGGAGATGCAAACCTGGCAACGCCGCAGCGCGACGGAGACCGAGTCCCACCCAGGGCAGGGACTTGGGTGCCCTTTTCCCTGCTAGCTGAATCCTGGCAATCCTTGTGAGCGGGTGTTCACGCTGCCCCTGCCTCCTAGCCAGGCCATGATACTGGCCCCACATTCACTGGAGGAAGGAATTCGAGTTGAGGAAAGGGCCTTTCTGGAAACCAGGATCGAAGGAGACCCACAGTCCTTCCTTTTCTATATTCTGCTTGATCCTCCGTGAACTGATCACCAGCGTAATACGGACTGGTGCCAGAGTGCTAACCAAAGCAGCCCGTGTGCAATATTGCCCATCCTTGTGTACCTGATAGAGGCAATTGAATCTGGGATTGCAGTGTGCAAGAGCGAGGTCCCAAGCACCCCAATTCCTGGGATTCGTCCCCAGGCGCCCCAAGAGCCGCACGGGGGTTGCTGCAGAGTCACCCAGTACCTCCTCTCGCATCACTCCCAAGCATCGTCTGGTACCGCCCAGTGGCGTCCCGGGCAGTGGCCTGGGCAAAGAATGAATTTGAGCCCAAAGCCCTATATACAAATCTCCATTCGGTAGCAAAGCAAGCAGGATTTTGATTTTTTTTTGATAGATGCTACTGATTTTTTTTTTTTTAACATTTTTCAAATGTGCACCAATGACTAAACCTTCTTCCTCTCTAGCGTGCATGGAGAACCAGCGCCAATCCATCCCCAGGGAAGTGATAGCTATGGTACCTGTGAGGAGCTCATGCTTTACTAATCAAGTGGAACATGAATTCGACCCAGCCCCCTTCATAATTTCCAGAATAGTTATTAATTAAAATGCTGTTTATTGGAATAGAAAACAAGCATTTGATTAGCTTTGTTACACAACAACAGCTCTCTCATTTCTATTCTAAATATTTTATTCTTTGCTTAGAAATCTCTCTCCAGAAGCAGTTGTGATAATTCACTTTTTAAAACTGTACAGTTTCTATGGTTTTGCTTTTTAAACGAGAGCACACTTTGTAGATTTGATTATTATATTTCTCTGTTGAGGTTACATTGGGCATTACAAAAGCATTCCCCACCACAGTGCTAGAAAGCAGCCTCCTGGTTTATCGTAAGGAGAAAAAAGAAGAATTAAAACACAGTTGCCAAGCTGTGGCATTCTCAATCCACTTAGAGCATGACTCTTTACTACTCTTCATTTACCACATTAGAAATAAGATAAAGTTACACCAGCAAGGTTTCCTTTGAAGCTGTTCTTGCATGCTCTTTGTACTGTATTTGATGGCATAACGTTGTTTTGTTCACAACGTTTTCTTTGGTGTCATTCTATTATATTCTTTATATGTATATAGGTTAAAAAAATATATTCTACAAAGTATTTTGTTCTACCTCTGTAAAAACCATATTTGTGAATAAAGTCGCCCTGGCCGTGGCGTGTGGTGTTGTGGACGCAGCAGTGAGTGCTGGTGCTTTGCTCTTATTCCGGGGCTCCGGCGGCGTGAACGGGCAGCTCACAGGCCGGGCCATCCAAGACCTCCTTTCCAATGGGAAGAAACAGGAAAAAAATGGATCATAGATTAGGAATCTGTGAGGGAAGGGATCAAAGGGGATAGACGGTGCCTCCTTTTAGAAAAATTAAAGGCAAGGAAGCATTCCTGGGGAGGGCAGGGTGGTGGGGCAGAGCACGGTGTAATGGGGACAGGCCGGATTCATGGAAGGATTTGAATGGGCAGTGGAAAAATACTCACTCTTCCATTAAATAGGGTTAAGAGGAATAAAGTCTCCGGTTCACTAACACAGCATAAAAACAGCCAGTCTTTTCCCTGCGGCTAGGAAGTAATTTTCCCATAAGTGCTGTCCGTTCTATGGAGGTTTATATCTTTTCAAAAAATAAGCTGTTGTGAGCCAGTGCTAGAGGCTTCTTTGGCAGTTTTCATGGTCAGTTTTCAGTGTTGTGTGTTGAAACTTCACCAGTGTTCAAAGAGGACTGAAAATACTTTGCTGCTTCCCTGAAAATAACCTGAAAAAAAAGCGAATAGAAAGGTGGACGCATCCCTGGGCCAGCTCATCCCTCCTCAGAAGAATCACAACTTACGTTCTTTAACCTTGTTTATGTAGTCACCTGTTCTTATATCTGTGCCTTTCTCTGCCTAATGAGGTGTCTTTCATCTTGGAAACAAAATAGATGATGCTCCATTATAGTTATTTTCCTGGTGCAATTTAAGACGTCTTTCCTGTGCAAGAGCTGCCCGAAGCCTCTGGTGGCACCACGCGGAGGCAGGAGGAGCGGTGCCTTCCCCGAGGTGACTTCGCTGCCGGCCGCTCGGATGTGCCAGAGCGGGTCCTGGCTCCCGGGAGCTGCAGCTGAACTAATAGGAGCTTTCCTGTCTGCCCCCAGATCTGCTGGGGGTGCTACTGTTAGCACCTCTAAAATGTCGGGGCTGATGTCGGGGTGTTTCCTTGTTGCCCGCCCAGCAGATACGGGGAGCACGCGGTGAGCGCAGGGCTGCGCTTGCTCCTAGCTCAGTGGCAGCACCGAGACATCGTGCGCTTGAAACAACCGGGTCCCTGGGACAATTCTTCCAGCTGCAGCGCAGTTAAGCCCAAAATTAATTTCTCTCCGCCAAT